CCTTATAACCAAACATACTACTCGGTCGGACCAGCGCCTCGCACTGGCCCTCCCTCAGACAATAAGGCGTACGTGTCACCGTGTGCAATCTCGTTCCACTCGATTGACACTGTCTAATCACTCGCCCCAGCTCGTGATTGGATGATTTCACTCCCGTTCATGTTCTGTTCACATCGTTCGTGCTCACGCACTCACTTTGCTCAAAAGCCCTCGTCTTTTGTTCATTGTATGTAGTGTCCACTCGCGGCTACACCGCTCGCTCCTGTTCTCCGTGGCCTTTGAACAGCCCATCCTCATGCCTTACGGCATTCGATGGCCCGCAACCCTGCAGGTGGCTTTCCGTAGTCTAGATACTCCCTCCGGGGGTGATCATTACTATCTTACTGCTTCAACAAAGGATCAATCACTTTTATCACGCGAGGTGGTAGCCGGGCACGCCGTCACATTTACTGAAGTCATCGTCACGATAGTCGTTATTTGGAACTCTACAAGCCACGCCCAGTGGTCTACTACACGGACCAGCCTAGGTCCGCTTTCACCTGTCCAACCAGTTCCACCCCTACCTTCCACAGCTCAAACGGTGGATCAAAATCTTTCGCCAACAACGAGCATACAAGGATGAGAGTGTGGACATTGAGCCACGCGCAAAATAAAGCGAAAGTGTCACGCGTCATCACCCCGTTCCGACAATCCACGGGCCAGCCGGAGTCAGACTGCTCCACAGGCAGACTTAACAGAAGAGGACAAACCTCAAAGGCACACGCCGTCGAGCGCAGCTCCGCGGGACAAATGAAACAATCATGGCGAGAGTCGAGACCGGCCACGACGAAACGTCGATAAAGCCAACGCAGCATAGACGACACACCGTCGCCGGAAGTGGGTACGCACCGGACCTTGTCCACTGCCTCCTCGGCCACCCAACGTAGCCCGAGATCAAATCTCGCATCCAAGTCCCCGAGCAGTTCTCCACTGACCTTACGCAGACGCTCCGGCTCGCGAAGCTGCGCCCCAAGTGCCTTGATACGGGCATGCCCTCCGAGGTGCATCCACATGATGATATCCTGTTTGTGCTCTCGCAGCCGGTCCCAGAGACCCGACGACACCACAGCTCCCGTGGTGGACTGAAAGGATGACAGAACCAAGTCTGCAGTGATGCCATCACCCAAATGTTCCACATTCACGCGCCCTCCGACGCAAGGCTTTGCAACGTCGTCCCTCCTGTAGATTCGTCCCACTCGGGGCTTCGCCCGGACAGCAATACCATCGCCCATGGCTAATACTCACTCTACTCGTTGGATCCCAAGGAATGTAGCAGGACCACTTCGCAACCCCTCGTTGCTTACTGTAATAAACGAAAGACTCTTGTTTTCAACAAGGGTATCACACCACCCGGTGTTTGTTTGTCTTTGGGCTGCACCGTTTGCTAGAAGCAAAGACAGAACCAACTCCGTTGTTCAAAAAGAAAAGAAGAGAAAGTTCTCCCGAACCATTCGAACGAGGGGCCATGCCCTCTTTATAGTTTCCTCAAACCAGTGTTCCTCCCAGTCACATGCTGTGTGCTCCCGCACCCGACAAGCACGGGTGGGTCCCTCACGACATGTCCCACCAACCATCACTCATCCTCTAGACTCGTTGATGTTATGACCATCCTTTCCGCTGCTTGCTCACAGGATGTAAAACCACTTCACGTGCCAAGTCACGTTCGTCTAGTGACGTCTCGCACCGTCCCCACCCACCACTGGCGTGGTACGTGGTTCCATGGTACGCCTTATAACCAAACATAC